CACCTCCGCCCCCCTCCCCAGGCCTACCACACTATTGTCTGTGTTCATGGACTTCTCGGTTTAAATTCTCATCTTCTAAAAGGCTGGGTGACAAATTATTACCCCTGATCACTTCATTTTAACTAGGAAAGATAATGGATTTTCCCAGAGTTGATTCTATGGTCTTGCAAATGAGGGCAGTTTTATTGAAAGCCCTGTGTTGGCAGTGACTGAGGTTGGGGCGGTCAACGAGTGAGACATTTATCACTTTTATCCCCTGGTTTTAAAGCTAACCCAGAAACCTAACATACCTTCCCTTGCCCTCCCATTCCTGGTGACCAAGAGTTAACTCTGCTCTTTAATAATGGTTTCACCCTGACTTATACATAACTTTTTTTGGAGGGGATGGGACCGGGTATATAAAGTTAGATGGGCTTTCTCTGGATATACCTTACCATGAGGAAACACTCCTGGGATCCAGCTTAAGACAGAGGCAAGAAGTAGTTTCATTGCTAATACTGTAGTCTTCTCTCCCTGTAGTTTGGTCTTTAGTGTTCACCTGAGGAATAACACTTGTGCCAACAATAACAGAGAATACTGTGAAGTGCCTAGACACAAACTTCAGGTTCCTCTCTGGTTAGAAGGGCCCTGCCGCCTACTCCCTGCCTCATGTGTTCCCCTCCTACCCCCACCACCAAATTTGGTTCAATACTTGCAACTTGTAGATCTTGCTAAACCTACAGTTTACTTGAGCTCAAAAAATTTAAAATATTTATAGATAAACCTAACATTTTAAAAATCTCTCTAGTCCATATATTTACTATTCAGATCTACCACACTAATCCTTATAGAATAAAACATTGTAATTGATGGAATCTACCTTGACTAAACCTGTGCATACCATAATTTAAAAGTAGATCCATACAGTCAGTAGACTGGTCCTGAAACCAAGCTGTGAGATATGCAGTTTTTAATATAAATTTTTAATAGTTTTTCTTTGGTCAAAAGTAATGGCAGTGATTTATTTCATAAATTCAACCTTATCTGGTTCTCTTATCAGTCTGTTAGAATTCTTTTTCTTTCTTAAATAGTTCTTAACTGAAAAACATGTATTTATACCCATACTCCTACCTATTGTTTTTGTAGGTCCCTATCTAGAAAAAACCCATTCAACACCAACACTTGAAAAGCTAAAGGCTGGAAAAAGTGTGACTCCTCCAGCCGCCCAACCTCCCCAGGCTACCAAGCCCACCAAGGCCGGATTTCTGGGTCCAGAAGGGATGAATTATCCTGTCAGAAAAACACTGTTACCTCTGATTCCTGATAGAGAAAGCAAGACCTCAGAAACCAATGAAAGAGGGAAACCTGTTCAGCCCAAGAACTCACAGAGGGCAAAACATCTGCCCTGCAGCAGTGATTTCTGTAATGGGAGGGGAATCTGCACCCTGGAAGGAGAGCTGAGAAAATGCAGCTGTCTGATGGAATATGGTGGAGAGTTCTGTGAAGAGGCAGTGCGTGGACCTGCCCCCGGCTACATCGCCCTCAGTTTAACCATCACCTTGTCAGTTGTTCTGGTAGCTCTGGGAGCATTTGTGTATTTCAGAAAAGAACATGAACTAAAAAGGTGAGCAGCTCTTAATGTCCTTATGGGAGAGTTTTATTCCAAAGCAGTCACTTGTAAAATAAGATTAATGGGGTTTGGAGGTATGTCCACTCTAGAAATTTGTCCTCTGAGAAAGGCTTAAAGCAGCCTCACCTGTTAGATGACCTGGGAAAATAATAATTGGGACCTTTTTTTTAAATCTTCACCCAAGGATATTTTTTCCATTGATTTTTAGAGATAGTGGAAGAGAGGGAGGAGGGAGAAAGAAAGAGGGAAACATCAATGCACAGAGACACATCAGTTGGTCCCCTCCCACATGTGTCCAGACCGGGGCCAGGGACTGAACCCACAACTGAGGTACATGCCCTCAACCGGGAATCAAACCCACGACCCTTCGGTCCAAAGGCTGACGCTCCAGCCACTGAGCCAAACTGACCAATGTGGGACCATCTTTTTGAGTATCTGGGGCAGATAAATCTGCCTCAACAGTTGCCAGTAGCACAATCTCAGGGATGAAGTGAGGAGATTTCCCAACAAAGAGGCAGAGCTAGTGCCAGTGATTGTTTGGAGGAAAAATTTGTTAGGAGAAGTGTATTAGTTTGCTCAGGCTGCTATAACAAATACCACAGACTGGGTGTCTTAAATACTTGAAATTTATTTTCTCACAGTTCTGGAGTCTGGAAGTCTGAAATCAGTGTGCCAGTGGGGTTGGTTTCTTCTGAGGTTGAGGGTTGGCTTCTCTGTGAACTGTAGATGCAGACTTCTCTGTGTCTTCCATGGTCTTCCTTCTGTGCATGTCTGTGTCCTAATCTCCTCTTCTTATAAGGACACCAGTCACATAGATTAGGGCCCAAACTAATGACCTCCTTTTAACATCATTACCTCTTTAAAGACCCTCTTTCCAAACACGATTACCTTCTAAGGTAATGGGGTTTATGACTTTGACATAGGAATTTAGAAGGGACACCACTCATCCCGTAACGGGAGGTGAAATAAAGAAACTCAAGAAAGATTTAAAGCAAAAACATTAAGTTTTGTCAAAGAGCAAGAGAGTCATTGGATTAAAGAAACAAACAAGAATAACAAAATGATGGTTTAGAGTAGGAATGACGACAAAATAAGCTTTAGAGTAGAAGACACAGTAACTGAAGAAACCGATCCGATAAATAGACGGTAAACAGCCTACGTATGAAGGAACACAGGGATGACAAAAGCTGTCAAAGTTACGTCTCTACCCAGCCTTCACTTTACAGACTGAAGAAAAAGCCGGGAAAAGTGATGTCTCTTCCAAGGTAACACTGGTTAGTTAAGAGCTAACTGGGGAATATTAATATGAGTGACATGTTGCCCTTCAGGGTCTGGTTGTAGCCTCAGGTTTTTTTGTTTAGTTTTGTTTTTGTTCTTTACCACATTAACTTGCCACTTACCTGTGTCCAGTCATCACTTACCTGTCCTTGGACTCAGTAGTCATTGACTCCCATTACCTAGTTCCTCTCGCTTGAGATGATGGTCATTTCAGAAGTTACATGAATGCCTAGTAACAAATAATATTTGACTCGATTGTTGCCCGTTCTAGGTCATTGGCTTTGTTAAAGAGACAATTAAAACTGGGTATAATTCCTAAAAAAATAACCTTTGACAGGGGACAGGTCGATGCTTTCTAACCATCCACCAAGCCCTGCTTCTACTTCAAGGAACAACTCTTTTGACTTTGTTTCTCTGATTTCTAGAAATAGTACAGCCTCGGCAAGGAATGTGAGCGGCCGTGAGGAAAGTGACCAAGAAGAAGAGAGTCTAATGAACAGTGAGACTTTTGTCAATGAAGCCTATGATGAACAGGTGTGCCTGGAAGTGTCCGTGAGGAAAACAGATTTTTGAGAGACGGTTACAGAATGGCCCTTCTGAAAGATCCTAGCTGGGTGAAACGAGGCAGTGCCACCTAGAGAATGGCGCTATTATGTATAGCAAATGAATGGTCAGTGACTTTTTTGTCTTTGGACTCTGTTCAAGCGTTACTTGTTCAAATAGGAGTGAAACACCCATGAACTAGTAATTAAGAAATACAGCTTTTGGTAGACTTCCACAAGGAGCTCCATCCTATTGCAGGGTGGGCTGCGAGAGGTTATCAGGGTTAGTTGGGGTTACTCCTAAAATTTACAGCTCCCTGTGACCTCTTCTAACTCCTGTATAGCTGAACCAGCTCTGTTTTTGCTTTGTTTTAAGGTAGTGTGTATTGTCTAACTTTAATTTTCTTTTCCTGCAGGAATTGTTAACCTCTTTGCAAAACGACTAATCTGATTTAAAAAAAAAAAAAAGGAGCTGAAACATCTCAATAAAAACTGTTTAGACATTTCATTGTGTACTATTTTAACTTCTGGAAGAGTTTGTGGTCAGTGGTAACTTCTTATTAAAATAAGTGCTTTTTAGATTGGAGGCAGTCATCTGGTTTTGTTAGTGGGTGTTGATTTCAGTACGATCTCCATGTAACTTAGGTCATGGATTTTCAGCAGAAATTGTCTAATCTCAGGACTGGTGTAGTACTAGTTAGGAGTTCTGGATTTGAATCTTGGCTCTGACACTAATTTTGAGCTAGTTAATTTCTCTGAACCTTTTTCTCCATCTTACAAAAGGGAATCATTTCTCTTAAATCTTTACCTTCTAGGCTAAAGGTCAGGTTTCTGTAGCGTAGTAAATGTGTAAGGGTTAGTTCCCTACCACTCCCTTTCTCAGATACATTTTGCTGCAAAATTAGTACTCACTTTTCTTGAAAATTTATAAAATCAATGTTTTTCTTATGCTTTCATATAATTCTAAAATTAAGTACAGGTGAACTACTTCACCCATGTAGAAACTCAGATAAATGATTTGTCTTATTTCTTTGAAGTAAAGTGAGTGGATACTGTGGGCAGCAACATAGAGTTATCAGTGTGGACCAGGACTCATCTCAACAACTCTTGCCTGCTAGGGAGAAACATTTAGATCCCAAAGTCCCTCTGACTGCTTATACCTCTGCTTGTCTGCCTGCATCTACTTTATGCCCAACCACATGAGGAATCAGGGACACTGACTCTATGATTGGAGACAGGTAGCAAAGCAGGAGTATGGTCTAAAATTTTATAGTAGCAACCTTGGGAAAATCATTTAATCATGAAACTATTTCCCCAACAATAAAAATGAGATTAACAGAACCTACAACAGGCCAATTGGGCATTGAATGAAAATTCCAGTATGCTTAGCATAGTACCTGAGTCTAATAATATGAATCTCAATGATGATAAACACATTTTTACTTGGAAGACTTCTTGCTTGGATCTTTTCTAGACTATTCATATTTAGTTTCTTGCAGAATGAGTGTTATGGGCTTCCAAGCATAAAGAGAAGCCCTAGGCTTATTACTGTGGGTATAGTACATAAAGTAAACTGTGCCTTGCAATCAAGTGTAAACATTCCCAAGTAGGAATCAACTTGACCTGAAGAACAAACACTGGGGGCTCCGCCCTCTGGAGGCTGGGAGATGCAGCAGCAGCATTAAGCTCCCTGGGGGCTCAGCTATCTTTGAAAGAAACCATTTTGGCTCCGCAGTACCCTCCACCCTTCTCATCCACAGGGTGAATCTTAGGTTTATCTTGCTACCTGCACCCAAGAGCCATCCTTGGCAAGGCTGTGCCTCTCTCTCTCTGTGCCAAAGTGCATAAAAATGACACAGAAGAATCCAAGTCGAAGGCACATATGAGTGACGTACAATAGCATTACCACTTCCTCTGGACGCACTGAAGCAGCTGCCTGTCTCCCTTAGCCCTTGAGCCTCAGGACTTCCAGGCCTTGTGTCTGTCACGCTAGCTCAGCCTAGTTTCACATTCCGCAGGCTCTATGAAGGATTGTTCCTCTCAGCCCCGCCCTTCTCATCTGCAGGCCCCATTTCCTGTTTGGCCCCAGAAACCCCCCTTTTTCTTGTTCCTGGGAAACAACTGACTGCAGCCAAATCTCCTAGTAGGTCACATGTCCACCCCTTCTTCGCATCTGTGCTGATTTATTTTTTTCTATCTTTGGTCTCTTATGAATGTCTGCCTGCCTGGCCGGGCGTGGCTCAGCAGTTGAGCATCAGCCTAGGACCCAGGAGATCGTGGTTTGATTCCCGGTCAGGGCACCTGGCCGGGCTGCGGGCTCCATCCCCAGTCGGGGGCGTGCAGGAGGCAGCTGATTGATGACTCTGTCTCATCATTGATGTTTCTCTCTCTCTCCCCATCTTCCTTCCTCTCTCTGAAATCAATAAAGATATCTATATTAAAAAAAGAATGTCAGCCTAAGTATCATCCTGCCTCAATGTGTTTAATACATTCTGTTATGCTTTCCCTATTCAAAGACTTAAAAAACTTCCCAGCCAGTGTGGCTCAGTTGGTTGAGCGTGGTCCCATGCGCCAAGAGGTCACCAGTTCAATTCCAGGTCAGGGCACATGCCTGGGTGCGGGAACGATCCCCTGTAGGGGCTGTGCAGGGGCAGCCGATCAATGATGTTTCTCTCTTATCTACGTTTCTATCTCTCTAGCCCTCTCTCTTCCTCTCTCAAAATCAATTAAAAAAAAAAAAAAGAGCAGCCAGTCACCCTAGGGTGTAACCCCATTCACAAGGTAGCTCCTGTGCTCCTTCCCCACCAGCATCAGTGCCTCTGCCCTGTGTTTGGGGCGAGTGACCTCAGGCCACAAATTACTTTCTTGTTCATGACAAGTATAAGGTGAGGAAGAATCTGGGTACAGAAACAGTTTCTAGGGGTAACTTTAACTTATTCTGTTGCTAACAGGCACTGAAGAACTGTTAGTACCCATTCTAGGATCACAAAAATAAATACAATGGTACCTCGGTTTTCGAATGTTTCAGAACTCGGTCTTCCGGAACGGATTACATTTGAAAACCAAGGTACCGCTGTAGAAACCATCCATGCCCTTATCTTCAATTTAGAGGTAAACTAGGAAAGTACACCAAGAAAAATACACAGTGAACATGTATATGATGTGTTCAAATACGACTCCTCTATGCTGATGGGGGAAAGGAGTTAGGGTATGGGTGTGGGAGAGAGTAACGAGTGTGAAAACTTAGGCCTTGGCCAATCATAAATGGAAATTAAGCTAAGAGTAGATGATACATCAGATCCTGAGGGTTTTTAGAGACATGAATGACAGACCCTCATTTGAGGAAGGTCAGAGTGAAGATGTGGGGTGGGGAGGGCCTGGGGGTGGGGATCCTGGTTATTAATCTTTTCCAGCACACTAGGGATGTGTGATGAGGCTCTGAGGTTCAAACTCTTTTCTCTGCCAACTGCACTGTGGGGCCGTCTGCACACTGGCAGAACAGAATGCTCCTCGCCAGCATTGTTTATATTTGATTCTGAAAACATTCTATTAAACAGGATACATTCGTTCCAGTGTATTTCCTCCTGGAGAAGCTGTTAGCCTGATGAAAGATGACAATATCTCCCCAGCCTCACTCAACTGTCCCACCAGCTTCTTTTTGCCCTTCCCACCCTGTTCTCAGGTGAGGTAGGAACAAGACATGCTGGAGCCAAGACTGCTATGCCAACCTGTTTCACTAATATTTCTTTAGTGGTACATCGGAGTTTGCTGTTCTTTCTGCCTGGAATGTGCCTCATTTTATTTTAATTTTATTTTTTTGTAGTTTAAAGTGAAAGAAAGTTTATTAGTAAAGCAGGGAGACAGAGGCTGGCTATTCCACAGACATAACGTCCTCTCTCCCTCTTTAATTTCTCTGCCCGAGTATCACTTCCTGACCACCTTCCCCAAAATATCACCCTTCTCTCCAGCCGTTGACCCTGGTTTATTCTTCATTTCCTTGCATGCATCTCTCACACTAGACTATGTGAGTTCCACAAAGGAAGGGCCTGGAAAAGTTTTGTTTTCCAAGGTGTCCACCAACGTGCTGACAAAATGTCAGGTGCCCCAAAACTTACTAGATGAACGACCTAGGAAATAAAGAGGACAGTGGCCGAAGCATCTCTGACAGTACCTCCCACAGCCTCCAAAAGGGATGGACAGTGTGTGCTAAACAACCTCACCCCTCCCGAGTGAGGGTGTGAGTCCAGACTTGTGATCAGGTAGAGCAGGTGCTGCATTAATGCAGCGTCTGCTCTACTTTCACAGATTCCTCCCTGCTCCAGGCATAACTTGAGTAATCTGAAAAGATTTCACCAATTGAATGAGAACACATACTTTGTATGTAATTAGGGTTATTAAAAATGAGTTTTGCCCTGGCCAGTGTGGCTCAGTTGGTTGGGCGTCGGCGGTCTACCAAAAGTTTGCTGGTGAATTCCCAGGCTGCACACATACCTGGGTTCCGGGCTTGATCCCCAGTAGGGGGCGTGCAGGAGGCAGCCGATGGATGGTTCACTCTCACATGGATGTTTCTCTCTCCCTCTCCATTCCTCTCTTTCTAAAAATCAATAAAATAAAAATCTTGGGGGAAAAAAAAGTTGTGATGGCATGATAGGTGTGAAGGGCTTGAGGCAGGGTGGCCGTGCTATTTCCCACCATTGTCTTCACTGTTGGTATTAAGTTTAGGGCAGGTTTCACCCACAACAGCAACTCCTGAGGTGCTGGCCTCCTCCAGCATCTTGAGTCTCAAGCTCATCAGTTAGTGCTGCTGTGGCAGAGAATGACCCTCAGGCCCAAATCAGATCAGGCCTGATGCAGGTGTCTCTTTCCACGACAACTTGCATATTTTTGGTAGCAAAAAGAAGTACATAGTTTTGAAAGGGAGTTTCGGTTTTTCTATCAGGGCAAAAATAGAATTTTCTTGGCAGCAAATCTTAATCACCAGAGAGCATTTTGAATATAAGCCAGTGAATAACAATTGGGAAGGAAGGAAAACTAAAAACATAAAACACCAGTTGTTTGTGTTTATCAAAGCTTCCCTAGAAATATGTGGAACTGTGATGCAGAAAAGAGTCAGTGAATTTGGTATTTGCCAGAGACCCAGTGTCCTTATGTTATCTGCTAGATCTTGATTTCTCAGGTGCCTAATCCCTTTTTGAGGTGTAAGCAGCAAAAAGTAGTGTTGCCTTTTCTCCATCCTGGCTCTGGTCCCTAGAGGACGGCCCCTACCCCAGCGAGAGGGCAGGCTCTCAAAGGTCTGATTATGTGCTGCTAGTGGGACTGAAACCTGAGCGAGGCCCAGGGCCAGTAGTAAAAGCCTGGCAGCCACAAGTGGCGGCCAGGAACCATCAGCCTGGGCATCTCCCGGGAGATCTTAGGAAATCAGTTTCAGGCATCACTCCGGACCTACTGAATTTGCATTTGAAAAAGATCCCCAAATGATATGCCTGCACTCTATTTTGCAAAAAGAAACAGATTAATTCCAGTACAAAATGACAAAAGGAAGTGAACCTGTATCATCCCTCCCAAGGCTGGGGGCAGCGTGTTCAGTTAGTTCTATAGCTCGGTTATCACTGCTTCTGAACTGATTGCTCCTAACTCCGAAGTGGCTACCAACCGCAGGTTTCAAAGATGAGATTTGGTTCAGTTAAGGGCAACTTGAAATCAATCACTTGGAATTAGAGCCGGCCCTACTGGAAATCTAGTCCTATTCATGAACACATAGCTGCCTACCTGTGACTTTAGGCATCACTGTTACAAGAGGAAAAGATTTCTAGTCTCACCTCATGTGGAAACTGGTGCTCACAGTTTTTTCAACAATAGGCTTGGCTTTGCACAGAAAACACAATGAAAATAAAGCAGCCAGGAAATTAACTGGGGCCCGTCGGCATCTTTTAGTAATCTTAGGCCAAGTGGTAAAAATCTGAGAGCTAGATTTCAGGAACCCAGGCTAGGTAGCCAGGAAATTCTTAGTAATGAAGGCTTGAACTCCCGAAGGTTGTATAGCACACAAAAAGCTTTTGTGGGCACACTGAAAGTTTTACGTTCAAATTTTATTTATAAATGAGAGATATATAAACACGTATTTTAACCTAATGTGATCGACAAGTTCCATTCTGCACCAAATATTTAATCTGTGGTCTTCTCTGTCTAGGGCGAGGTACCCAAGGAACAAAACGGTACATACAGCATTAGTCCTTTCATTTTCCTCTGGCTTCTCAGGAAGGGAAACTCTGATGTGGCCTCAACTTTCACACCAAAAATAAGTAACAAATCCTATTTCTACATGAAGAAATGTAAATGAGTTAATCAGGTTATTTCATTCCATAAAAGCCACGAAAGCTGCTGGTGTTTGCAGGGCTCTTCGTTTAAGAACCTCGTTCAAACACAGCCGGAAAGAGATGGGTCTCTTGAGAGTTTGCATGAAAATGAATTATACAGCAGAAAGAAATTAATACTATTTAATTACGTTGAGGCACAGTTCATCGGCGTTTCAAGGTGTTAAGTCATTTTGGAGCCTCTATGTGCTGATTTTGACTTTCTGTCGTTCTAGTCCCCGGTCCACACGATACAAAGTTGCGATAGCTCCTTCGGCTAGAAGTTTGAAAAGCCTGTCCCTCTATTAGAGGACCCTGATCCCCCTGGAGAGAGAGCCTAGACTCTGTAAAAAGAAAACCAAGCCCAGCCTCAACTAATCGTCCAAGGAGGCTACTTTGGCCGCAGGAGAGGAAGAGCCGCCTCCAAACCATGTTCAGGGACAGGACCGGTGTCCAGGGTTCCGACGCCGGGCCGGTGTCCCCAGCGGCAAGGTCGCGGACAAGCTCC